TTGGTTGCTCTTTTTTTCTTTGTTGCTCGTTTTTTGTTTGTTGCTGATTTTTTTTTTTGTTCTTGTCGCTGTTTTGTTTTGTTTTTGTGCTGGTCGCTGTGTTTTTGTTTTTTTTTGTTGTTTTTGTTTCCCTTTTTTCATTTCTTTTTTTCCTTCTTCCAAACCGCACGCTTTGTAGGATGTGTGCTTAAATTCAGATAGGGGATAGTTTGTTCATGGGACATGTTTCCGAAGGCACCCTATACTGGAAGACGTATTCCATGCGCTAAAAATCTGAATAATAACTAAGACAATATTGTGCGCATATTATACTCAAGCCGTTATCTGAGAGATCATGATATCATTCGTTTCATTATATTGGTTTATGGTTGTGACAATATGTCGTATGCGACGTTAGGGGCTTTATTAGCACAATACCTGATAAAAAGGGGTCTAGTGGGCAAACAGCAACTGTATAAGGTAATTTATTGTGAGGGCAAAATGGAGTGAGCAGGCGCCTACACATATGCATGTGTACACGTGCACGATAGGCACGGTACTCAGTTTGCAGCATACATATGTTCACGTTACTTGAACAGCATGCATATGCCCGATGTGAACATAGCATACCTTTTACAGAATGTAGCATAGGACAGGGCAAAGTGAGCATCCTCCTGTGACAATAGAAATGTGGAATATATGTATTCGCTTCCGCATTAATCCCATTGCAGAAAAGTTTATGGAAGGATATAGAGGCACAACTGGGCAAGTTTATAGAACATTTGAATGAGGATGGCATGGACGATATGTATTCTGCGAATTGCAACAACACTCCATGGCAGTACCCGGGCCACCCGCCTCAGACAACCTACGTAGTTCCAACCACGAGTGACAGAATTATATGTAAACTCATGACAAGGGCATTGTGGTTTGCAAATGGCTGGAGTTCTACGACGGCGGCTGATATGCTGCAACGTGGGCACAATACGGACTTGAAGGATTTTATCAGATGCGGCATTGTAAATATGTTTATGCATCTATTGGAAGAATCCGCGTGTAGCAGTCCGTCGGGCATTTCGTATGCATGGTACACCATGAAGCAAATGAAGAATGACGGACCGATCGACCGGAACTTAATATATGAGGACACATGTAAGAACGGAACGGAAGAAGATATTCAGGTACACGCATGGTCCATGAAAAACAGTATTAAACAATGGTTAAGTACACATGAAAGCATACGCACCACAATAAAGAACGCAAGTGTAAGTACGAACTGTAGCCGCAAAATAGGAGAACTCCCGAGACAGGGGCCAGGTGCGACAAATACGGAGGACGGGGACATAGTAAAAGCCCAGGTAGTACAAACAGCGAAGAATCTAAGCCACGGTATGGCTACCATATTCACAGAAATTAAGAAGGCCGTGAAGGCAAGTGGTAGCAACGCGGAACATGCTAAATCCCCAATTCCTGACGCCCCCTCAGAACACTCGGACGACGATGAGGAAGACGGCGATGAGGACGATGGCGATGATGAGGACCCGGAGGAGGATGACGAGGATGACGAGGATGACGAGGATGACGAGGATGACGATGACGAGGGCGATGAAGAGGCGGACGCGAAAGGTAAGAACAGTACGAATACGACTCGTAAACATACCAATCATACGGCCGCACACGGGATAACACTGCCGAATGTGGATGCCGCCACAACACAACAACATGCACGCGGTGAAAGCAATGCACACGGCAGCCACCACAACACAGCAAACGACTTCGCTGACGTTGAGCACAGCGGCCACGACGGCATCGGCGATGAGCGTGTAGCGATGGCAGCGGTAGCGGCGACGGCGGCGACGGCAGGCACGCCTCGGCGGTCGCGCTGACGGCGACACCAAATACAAGTGTACTGCTAGTATCCACTCATTGTACCGTACCTGTCCACATTGCACTCCCTCCCCCTGCGTTCCAATGTTTCCATAGGGACCGTAACCAACTGTACTATACCGAAGTAATTGCAACAAGAAAAAAAAAAACGATACTATTTTTAAAAAAAAATAAAAAACAAACACTCACTACGAATGTATGTCTCTAAATGCCGGATACATTGTGCATTGGAGGCAACTGACGTTGGGCTCGTGCGACACAATATATTAGATACATGGTCACACAAGGGCCTTATATATTATACTAGCATAATATGCATATACCTCCATATTTATAATGCTTAATGGTACATTAATTTAACAAAACACGAAAAAAAGAAAAAACAGCCCTAAAACCTTAAGCCCCCTAAAACTTCTTAACCCGTGAACCCTAAACGTTTAATCATGAATGCGCAACCCGAAATCCTGGATACGGATCTGTGAACCTTACAACCCTGAAACTGTAAGCCTTAAACCACGAATCTTAATTCCGTATTGCGCAACAACACAATCCTGACCCCCCAACAATACCTGAACGTTACAATCCCGGAAACATTACAACCCTGAAACCGTACAAACCTGAAATCTTGCAATCGTGCAATCCCGGAACATCGGAATCCAGAAACCTTAAACCTTACGCCCTAAATCCTAAATGCTGAGCCGTAAACACCAAAATACAAAATCCCCTTATACTTATCTGTCATTTTTTACGAACATTCCTTACACTGTTGATTAAATCCATTCACATTTTATCAAAAAGAACATAGAACGCCCGGTATACGCATAAGAACGTTGCAAACAATATGTTCACATTTATTATTTATCACTACGCGTAATACATCTGAGAACGATATAAATCACTACCCCCATAAATAATAAACGGCCACGCGATATACATGTATAATTATGCGAATACGTGATAATAACAAACCCCCCCAAAACACTGACACAATATAACTTTGAGCACGCGGCTCTACAGCCAAAAAAAAATCTTCGCCGTTCTTGTATGTAAAAGGGGCTATAATTGATTCTCTTTTGCTTATTTTCTTCACCATTATACCTGACTTAAAAAGAGTAAAATGTTATTCCACATATGGAATTTTGCTCTGCTGAATATACACTTTCCTCCCATTACACCGTTAAAACGGCTACATAAATCAGGAACCCGTGCTGAAATTGTGAAAAATGTGGACCCCTTTAGTCAACTTGTACATGGTACACCATGTATATAAAACTCGTTCTTATCCGTTCCTCTCGCACCTCATCATGTGGTATTTGTAGCATGGTGCATATGAATTCTTCCTTGAGTTCATATGTACATACTTAGGTAAGGATAGTAACCCTCGTACAAAATTGATTGTATCAATGTTCATTATTAGCAAATAGAAAGCAGTGTTACACGCTTAATCTATACACGTACATGTGGAAAAAGCAAAATAATAGTTCCAGAACACATACATATAAACAACATATCGCCCTTTGTAACATTTTCTACACGGAAAAGAAGAAACAGAATGATGTTACTTATGAAACTCTCTATATGTATTTGTGCCCTGTGTTTCTGGCAAATTGCTGACGGTGTATGGAAGAAACAATTGTTTATTGGCAGTTCTTACATATACCATGCTTAACTAGTTGCTCCCGTGCCAACAACAATAAACCTACCTCCCTACCACTTACAATCATGCTCTACACCCTTCTATGCATACACCATAACATTTGCATATATTCCCCCTTTTTTTTATATTCTTGTCAGGCAAGTACAATAGGTACATCATCGACTAATGGCACAAGCCAATATGGCATTACGGATGCTAGTACAACCGTATCGTTGAGTGATGGAACGGACGTGGGAACGCGGGGGAAGCGTAATTTTTACGGTGGTCGTGTGACGGGTAGTCCCTTGAAGAACACACTGTTCGATGACATGCGCAAAAATTTTAAATCCAAGGTCAAAGTAAAGAAGCCACAGCACAAAAACAAGACCTCGCAGGATATACCTGCAGGCGATAATTGTAGAAGAGGTTTGAAGAAATGGACGCGTTGTAAAATGGGGAGAAGAGCATGGATAAAGCTTATAGTAGTATTCTCAGTCTTGTATCCATTCTTCATGTCCGAAGTACCACGAACCATCTTCACTGCGCTCTATATGGGATTACAAGTCACGTTTGTGCAGTTCATGGGCTTCTATGGAGGTCCCATATTGATTGCAATTATCTATGCCTGCGTGTTACTATGTTTCGGTTGCTCGAAGAAGGGAAAATGTGTACTAAAGAATATTTGCAAGGACGACGCTGCCACAGAAACGGAAAAAAAAGAAGGAGAAGTAAATAAGAAAACGGAAGCACCTAAAAAAGCAGGAGAATCCGAGACACAGGGAGGACCTGAGAGGCAGGAAGCACGCGGGAAAGTAAAAGTACCGTGGAAATTGAAATTACCTTGGTCACGCACATTACCTAAGAAACCATAACTATGTGCCGTATTTTATTTCTGGTAGACTATTTCGACGTTATGATATCTTATTCGTCTATGTAATGGATCGACCATTTTAATGATGTTGTATGTTCGCCTCTATGATGCGGTGTATTTTTCCTTTATAGCATGTATCATATAGTTGCGTTTCCTACTTTATAATTTTTGTTTGTGCTCTTACCAACATACATGGTTTGTGTTTATGTTGTATTATTTGTTCATATGATCAAGTGTTTATTGATACTATGGATGAGGAACCCATTTTAAGAATAAAAAAGGGGAAACGTGTCCCTATATTGCACATGTATAAGGAACAATTATTTCATATGCTGCATGTAACAAACACTACATGATGATTACTATGGATATAGCATGTGGCAAGTATTTTTATAAAATGTAACATTGTCCTTTTTTTTTTTTTCCTAACACTCCCACAATTCTGGCACCGAATTAATATCCCCGCTTTTGGGCACAATATAATATTGTACACGAGAATAACAACATACGTTATGTAGAATATAGCATAAGCAGATATAGGTATGCAGGGTCCCGTGCAACATCATGTACAGGGACAGGCGCCGTGAAGGGGGACAGGGTATACACCTTGTTGCACGTGTCAAATATTTTTGAGCAAGGGTGCACATAGGGGTCCTTATGCATAAATTCGTAAACTCGTGGCTCATAGTCATGCCCGCTCTAGTGCACACTCATGGTCGTCACCGAGCCGGGGCCGTGCTCTCGGCAATGGTGCATTGCGGTGAGCGAAGATGTGCTATGTGCTGGTTCGCTGTTGTGCCGCCGCGTTATGTGCATGCGGCACGCTAGTGTCCATGAATACGTGGTACACCCTGGCAACACGAGCCCTGCGTGCGCAGCGTGCTCGCCATCGCATGAGGACCATACATTATGCTGCTGCAGCTACTGATGGCTGCGCGCAGGTTCCGCCTGTAGTGTCGCTGCGCGCGGTGCATATGAGGCCTGGCGCGTGCTGTTGTGCGCGGAGGGCGCGTGACCGTGGGCAGCGTCCCATGCTGTATGTCTCTTATGTCTCCACGGTGCACGCATGGTGCGTGTGGGGCCTG